TTAATTATTTCATATATTTAAAATTTTGGTTTAATTCAGGCATTAATTCCCAGTATAGAAGCACCGTTTCATCTGCCACACCTGGCATATTGCTCGGAATATGCTTCGTTCCATTTAAATTATAACAGAATATTTCCTCAGCAAGCTACTGCATTTTCAGTTCCCTGAGTGGTTGCTTAAAACAAGCTTTACTGTGTATCTTTTTTGTTATTCTTCTCTCTCCTTTCAGATATATTCCGTAATGTTTCAATGTAGAAGTTTTCCCAGTTTCTTCATAGAAGAAAGTCAACTTTCAGGGAAACTCTCGAAACATCAGTGACTAGAAAATAAGTGATTCTGTAAAATGTTATTTTCTATACCTAAATTATAGCATGTATACTACATACTGAGTAGTACTCAACATACAACAAGTTGCAGTATGTACAATCTGGTGCAATCACAGAAACATTTTTTTCTGTAATGCGAAAGCATCTAAGCTTGAGCTTTCTGTGCTTTGTTTGGTTCTTTGTACAATGCAAAAGAGCACAGCATTTTCTGAATATTATCAATTGTCAGCACACTGTAAACTTCAGCCTGTAAAGATACTGAAGCCAGAAAGGTTTTCCCCCCTATTTTTCACAAAAGCTTTTCCATTTCTACTAATGTGCATTTCAGCACAGGAATTTCTTCTTTAAAAAATATTTTCTGGTATTTCTAACATTTCAAATTAACATAGTAACTGTATTTAAGTGCTAGAGTTTGCAAAATTATTCTTCAAAGTAACCACTAAGCCCTTAACTTCCTTGCTTCTTGACAACTCATCAATAGACATTTACATATATTGCAGGAAAGAAAACAAACGAAGTACAGTAAAAATAAATCAGGATTCAAGTTTCTGCGAGTTGGAAATACACACTGACATACTGATCCTGCAGGCATTGAGGGAAAGGGGTGTACGGTTGATTTCCAAACTAGTGGCATCTTCCTGTTTGGGGACTGAAATAAAACTGCTGCCTCTCTGACTGTCCTGCCTGCAATGTAAATTTTTTCATGGCTTCAGTTTGCAAGTTACACAAAGTAATGTGTAGACCATAATTTCAAGAGCTCTGCAGTTTGAATTACACTGCTTTAGAATCACTCAAATATAGTAAAAACTGCACGACTGGGCTTGGCATTCGGGTGGCCTTAGTTTCCTTCATCTCTCCAGTTCTGGAAATCTCATATAACTGCTTAGCCATGGCAATACTTAGCTGCAGCAATGCTGAGGACTTAGCAGAAACGTTACCAGTGCAGCAGGTTGTCCAGGTGTGGAAACTGGTGGAACTGTTGGCCTTGGATAAGCAGAAGTCACAGCTGTCGCTTGTGAAGCAGAAGGCACTGCAGTAGGCTGGGGAGGAGCTGGAGAAACCACAGGTTTCAATTCACTGGGTTTGCCCTTCTGCTTCTCTTGTAGAAGTTTGAGAGCATCTCTGGTGAGTAAACAGAGTGAAATACTGACAACAAAGAAACTATTTCAAAAACTCACAAAGTGTTACTATTCCCTTTATTTTATTAGCCACTTCTGTGCATTCACATTTATGTTGTCAACTCAAATATTAAGACAGTGATTACTATTAACTGATACAAATTTTGTGTCTCTTTTGTGATAACTTTTTAGTAAATGCTTATTAACTTCTGTGAATAAAAGGGCTTGAATACGCAGTAATAGAGAACATCTGTGTTAGAGAAACATAACATTCATCAACACTAATAATTTGTGAATTGCACTAACAATCGTTTTAAATAAGTATCAGAATACACTTACTCAAGCTATAAAGTCTCAAATAAAAGTTTTCATCTGTTGTATTTGTAATCATTTGAATTTAATGTAATTAATTGGTGCTCACAGTACATTTATCATTCATTTTGCTGTACCTTTCTGACATAAATATGCACAAACAGGTGCAGATAGCATACAAGTCCATACCTCATAAGCAATTTGAAAGATAACATCACACTGAAGAACCAAAGCCAAAAATTGAGTAACATCTAACAGTCCCGGGTGTGGTTGAACCTCGTCTACTCTACAAACACTCTCCCAGGGTCTTTATACTGATACAGCTACCACCACAAAACCTCCTCTTGTGGGCACAGTATGACAGACATAAGCAAACTCCCATCTTTAGGCTATAATACTACATCTGCCCTAGGTGCATTGTATTTATGAAGCAGCATGCTAAAGATTAGCACCTAAGAGGCTCAACAGAAAAGACTGCATTTACACCACCACTGCCAACTGCAAGGGAAATAAGCTATAGTAAAATTTCTGGTTTGCAGTTGTAACCACACCGATACCAGCGACTTCCTAGAAGACTTGTATCCATCAGATCTCCTCTCTTTATGCTCCAGATCTGGTAACAGAATTCGGTATCATATACCCTAGATAAATCTCTATCACTTCATGAAGACATCACCACAGCATGTATACGAAAGTTTATGTACACAAAGGTTTATTACATAAACTGGCAGGGGAAATTAAAAATAAATGTAAAAATCAGGCTACTTACAACTACACCATGGCTTCAAAACTAAATACTAATAAATACTAAACAACAAAACTATCTAATTTTGTTAGATTTCTGCTTGAGTGAGAGTCTATTCTTGAGTGAGAGTCAATAGTTGGTGTGTTATTAAATCTTTGTAGAAAGGACAAAATCTCAGAAAAACATTACGCGTTCTTAGTTCTTCTTAACAAAGAATGCACTCCAGAAACAAGAACTCAAAACTGAAAAGCTCTGTATGTTCTTTTACTGATTGCTGACTTGCAAATAAAAAAAATGATTGAGCTCAGGATATAAATTTGTCATTAATAAAGTTGTTACTTGTTTTCCCAAATTAACATTAGCCAAAATTTGCTTTTAAAAAAAAGTTTAGTATTTAACATAACAACTATTTCAGCAAACAAATCAGATTTCATTGAATGAAAATCATCCCCTAGCATTACAATTTGAGACAAAAACATAACTGCATAACACAATGCAACTTTCCTAGTTAACACATTAGAAGCTGCCAAAAATTACTTAAGAGTATTAACCTGGCACTCATAAGACAGACCATCTGCTCATTATATTCCACAATACATAAAATAAAGCTTTTATAGCTTCTTTTAAATATATATATCTATTAAAGCTAAGGAAATACATTAAAATTACTTCCATATATTAGCAAATGACAAAAACTAGATGGTCCTACCTATCATAGCCAAGTCAAAGTGTTTTAATAATTTTAGTGGCTTTTAGTGTGTTAAGTGAAAAACATATTGTCAAAATTGAGCTTATTTTTAGATTAGAAAATTTCATGCAGGAGTTTTTGAAACTCGTGTGAGTATGAGCCCTAAATATATATAAAAAATATACACATACAAATCTTGTTTTATACATATTTGTAGGTTTATATTATATAAATATTTGTTACACATACATGTAAAAATAATTTCCCCCCCCAACAATTCCACATGATTTAACTGATTAAGAAAAATAAGTACAGCAATGTTATGACTGTCACAGGTGAAGATTGTGAGCCTGTATATAAGCAGAGTTGGAGGAGGCACCAAGGCAAATCAAATTAAACAGATGTTCAGTACAAGTCAGGCAAATAGATATTTTATTAGAACTGGAAAAGGAAGGCTTGGATACATCTTTCCAACTACTCTATAAATCTTTATCAACACAGGATACTAATGGAGAAAAATGAGAGAGAGGTAACAAATATGAAAGAGAGCAGTCTGCTCCCCAGAAGATACCAGAGCACGGTAAATGTTTATTAAACAATAATATGCCTTAACAAACTGTTAGTATTAGAAGTATGCAGATTCTGGCAACTTTGTTACACTTCAGTTTACCATTACTACCGAAGTATATAGTCTTTGCACTTCATGTTAGCCAAAACCCAAAGAATGGTGAAAGCAAATGGGGTATTTTATGCCCGAACTATACTGTGCTTGAAATGGGCAAGTTACAGGTCATACACGTTCCTAAAAATCACTAAGGATCCAATGGTGCAACAAGAGATGCACAAATTGACACTAGCTTCCTCTGATGGCAGTTATTGTTACTCAATTGTCCCAATCCCCTTTCATCTGAACATCCGATTACTCAGTTCCTAGAAGATTTCCTGGAAGAAGGAAAAAGGCGAGCAGAGAATGTTACACATCAGAAATTTCTAGATATCAGAATCACTGCACTATCAACATTATAGAAGGAACTCATTCCTCCAGAATGGCAGCTAACAAATTGCACACAGCATAGATCTTGCTATAACTTTGCACTCAATTCATATACATGAAATCACTCTCTGGAAAACCAGCACCACATGTGTGCTTTGTGCCTTGTTTGCAAGCCAGAAATGCTAATGACTGAGCCGCTCTGAGATCCTAAATCACACTAACTCAGTGATAGCTGGTAGGAAGGTACTGATAAGAGGAACATGGGTACAGAGAAACACAAGTATTATTGGTAACTAGCCCTGCCACCTTTTTATTGTTGCATTTATAAATCCCTAGATCAATAGTAAGTAGGATGAGAAGGGGCAGAAGTAGTCTTAAACAAACAACAATTTTAACATAGCTCTCTCAAATATAGTGTCTGAGCTGATGACTAGCAATATGGTACAATCTTTGACCGAAGTTGTGAGTTACTTTGTACTGATACATCAATTTGCTAGTATCTTTCTGAAGAAAGCAAAGGATGTTGCTTAAAAATTAAAAAAAAAAAGCTGCCATTCCATAAAACAAAAACAAGGAGCCAACAATAATTCAGCCTTGCAAAGATACATAAGAGAAATGAAGTATCAACCTAGGAGTAGATTATGACAGAGAAAGCTAATAAGTGAAAGCTCCTCCTGTTGCTGTTAGAAGTTTTACAGTGAATTGAATTTAAAGATAGAAAGTTGGGGGAAAAGAATCTTGCTTGCTTATATAACTCACTATCTTTGTTTGTTGTGATGTGGTGAGCATGAGCTCTGTTCAACAAGGAAACACGAGTTAAAAGTGAAAAGTGAATTCGCAACACTCTCTTAAAGAATCAATCCCCAGCCTACTTGGACAAGAGACCATGAGTCACTCAGCTATAAAGCATGGCATGTATTTTAACAGTAACCTCAAGTTAGCAAAAGAAATATTTCCCTGAATATCTGTAGAAGCTGCCTACAAAGATCTGCAAACATTGCATTTCAAACCGAACCCAACAGGAGAGCCCGTAGGCGTCTGAAAGATTAACACCATTTTGAAAGAATGGTTAAAAAAAACCAGATAATTTGTATCTTAAAATGACATTTCTAAGTCAAATCTTTTGTATCAAAGAAAGCAGTTTTGAAAAAAGATTTTGTTAGGTAATTCTCATAGCTACAGAAAAATCTTTGCTACATCTCCATGACAACTAGGGAATGTTAATTAGGCAGCTCAAAGCCTTAAAGGGTTTCCACCTGCCGTAGCCTAGTAACACATCATAAGCTACCATCACACTTACATAATTAAGAAAAAACTATCTCTGATAATTTGCAGTTACATAGGATATTGTATCTATTCAACTTCCTATTTTATCTCAACTCAGCCGAAGACCAGGAGTAAAACAGTTTTGAAAAAAGCACAGACTCCTACTGTCTGCTTCTCTCGGTTCAATTCCCAGTTACACCACCCTGCCTGTCTTTGTATGGAAGCTAACAAGGTCTGTGTAGGTGAATGGCAGCATTTGGCAAAAGGAGTAATTTTACTGATAACAAAAATAAGTATTCCTGCCAAAATCCTCATCTCCAACAACATACACACTAACTTGAAGACAATGCACCATTTTAAGGCTAAGGGCTCTGGATCTACCACAACACGTTCTTACACACAAGTTCCTCACTCCAAGGCTTGAGTACCAATCATTACATCAGAATACTTAAAAAGTATAGTAAACTACTAGAAGCCTGATCATAACAAACCACAGGTTTGTAAACAAACGTTCTTTAAATCAAAGATGGGAAAAAAACAAAGATGGGAGAAAATCAGAACTCTGGATTTCTTACCATTACACTTCATTGCTCTCCCCAGACTAATAAAAACCAGAACAAATTAAATCCTGACAGACTTCGTAACTGAACTTCAGTGAAAAAAGCAAAAGATCTGAACTCCCCAAAGAAAAGCAGATGAAGAAAACAGGCTGCTGGTATTTTATTTTGGCTCTGAATACACTTCTGAGTAGCAAAATTCTTGAGATCCACAATGGTAGCTAACAGTGGTGCCTAAGAGTTTATAGCCACCATTAGGCTGAGCTACAGGAAATGTGTCAGCAGCACCAGATGGCATATAAAAACTAAAAGTGTCTTTTTTTTTTTTAATTAAAGTCTTCCGACAATATTTCCTAACCTATTCTCCATATTGTCTCAAAAGGTTTTTCAAAATTTAGCTAAGCCATTTCTCCATAGAAAGAAATGGAATAAAAAGCTGGCTTTTTAAATAAATGGCCTTTTCAAGTTCATGAAGATTGCTCTAGGTTCAAAGGAAGAAATAAAGGAATATGAGGTTGTAGCTTTACTGAAATATCTACATACTCTTTCGTGAAGATTCCTCGAGGCCCAGAAGGTGTAATATTGCTTGAATCTAGTCCATGCGTCTCCAGAATGTTGCGAGCTGCAGGACTTAAGCGAACCCTGAAGAAATGAGGAAAAAAACAAACTGTTTAAACAATAAGTTTAACTTATCTTGTTTAACGTATATCAAGAGAAACTACATGATATATAGTCTATTCAGAAGCAACAGCTGGGGAAGAAAACAGTTCTGCATAAGGTCTGCGATCCTAACACTGAAATCAGACTCTGCCCTTTCAACAAGCTTTAATGAAAGGTTGAATTTAAAAACACAATAATGACCTTAAAGAGATCACAATAAAGAGTGGAAAACTCATTTCCAAACTTTCCTCTAACAGGATTAATGCAATATACTTGAGGATTCCTCTGGAAAAGGATCATCAATAAAGAACCAAATACATTTTTTTTTAAGACCAGATTGTTACAGTAACATTAAAAAAAAAAGTTTTTGAAACTCAGACAAGAGGGTTGCTCCTCTCCATTATTTGTTTGGGTAGCTGTAATTGCACCATTATAGAATTATAGAACGGTTAGGGTTGGAAGGGACTCAAAGATCATCTAGTTCCAACCCCCTGTCATGGGCAGGGAAACCCTCCACTACACCAGGCTGCCCAAAACCTCATCCAACCTGGCCTTGAACACTTCCAGGGATGGGGCATCTACAAGTTCTCTGGGCAACCTGTTCCAGTGCCTCACCACCCTCAGAGTGAAAAATGTCTTCCTTATATCTAATCTAAATCTGTCCTCTTTCAGTTTGAATTCATTGCCCCTTGTCCTATCACTACATGCCCTTGTAAAAAGACCCTCCCCAGCTTTCCTGTAGGCCTCCTTTAAGTACTGGAAAGCTGCAGCTTAACTCTAATTATAACACTACCTTTGTCCTAGCTTCAATTTTATTTTATAGGATTGATTTAATGAAATGACTATTTTTTCAGAAAGCAAAAGCCATACAGATGTAGCTGTCTAATTCAGTATCTGCTTTAGAAGACTATGTATTGAGCCCTCTCACAGTTCAACATTTTAATCAGCATACACCTAAGATACACTGTAATACTAGTAAACCTGTACCTGCCATCTTGACCTAGATGGGGTATACTCAATAGTAACATTTCTCCCACGAAACACAAACAGTGATCAACTACAAAGCACAGTACATAGCTACAGACCACTTGGTACACCTTAGCATGACTTGCTTTCTGAAATGAGGAGAAAAAAAACCACCAAAACAACACCCGTAGAGAAGACATATCAGAATTCTTAGATAGAAAAGCAGTAACATTTTCATAAAAGAACAAATACTTGGTTTCAAGTCTTTCCACAAAATCTCCAATTCATTATTTCCTAAAGGAGACTGTGTTTCCACCACATTGAGTTTTAAGAACCGTCCATAAGCCCTTGCAAAAAAAACCCATATCATAAATGATCATTTGATTCCAAAGATGCTTATACATCTCTAACAGTTGCAGTGAAACAGATGTACTTCTGATGTGCTTTGGTACTAAAATGCAAGACTTGATCCTTTCAAGGATCCTTTCCTTGGATCACCCTCCTACTACAGGTAACATTTAGGCAATGATCTCAATTAGTTGTCTTCCACTTGCATGAGAAGAGTCTAAATGCTGACAGCAAAAGTAGACATAGCAAACCAGATAGAAAAGGTAATGAGATTTGGAGATAAAAAACAAACAACAAACAGAAACTAGAAAAAAAAACAAAAACAAAAACACACACGCACACACAAAAAACAATCAAAACAAGCTTGTGTAGCACATGCTACCAAAATTAGTTTCATATTCTTCTCTTTAACAGGCTGTAATTCTACAGCTTTTGTGTTTTCAGAATTCACTCCAAACAAGGAGTGATACCTCCAAATAAGGTACATCCTGCGACACAAACCAGTGATTTATAGATTACTGTTACCTGACTAACACTTTGGAGTTAATTTAGTAAATTAACTAAGATGTTTGCAATGTTTAGAGTATCCTAACAGATCAAAACAAAACAAAACTAACAAAGCACACAAACCCATAGTTCTGAGTTTTTAAAAAATACGAAGAATTTTTTTCTAATATTAAAAGCGCAAGAGCTTGGAAGGGTTTTGGAGTGTGGCATTTATTTTTCTCCTAAAAAAGAAACAGAAAACAAGTTATAGGTAAAGAAAACAAGTTATATATAGGTAAAGAAACAAGTTTCTATACAGGTAAAGAAACAAGTTATAGGTAAACTGATCATCTGATGCATAAGCATTAGTGTCCATATATATAGTGTCCATTAGTGTCCATATAGTGTCCATTAGTGTCCATATATAAAGACAACTTCTTCCTAATCTAAGCTTAGAATCCTTCATAAAGCAATTGTATGTCAGAATAAAAGCACATCCACAGAAGGTGTTCTAATAAAACTGTATTATTCGAATCAACTTACTTGGCTTACAAGCAAAGAAATATTCTGGGCAGACAACCTCACACATACTGAAACACTCAAACTAACACCTTGATACTAGGTAAAAAGAGACACAAGATTCTTCTTGGTTCAGCTCTACTGATCTAAAAGAGTTCCATTTCATAATGAACATAGAAACTTACTGCAATTTTCCAGGTTGATGTTCCAGTTTAGGAGGGGCTGAAACTGAAGGACCTGCAGGAGCTGAGGTAAGCACTGCTGCTGGTGGAGCCAGAGAAGATGGATCACTACCATCAGCTGGTATTTCAACTTGCTTCCAGTCCTGTCCTTCCTCTACCAGCAGACCAATTAGTGAGCCCAAGCGTACGTTTTTGGTTCCTTCTTCCACCTAAATTTAAGGTAACGAGAACATTAAGTTACATATTGCACTGTCTAGACTAGATGTCTTCACATCTACTAAAAACGGTAGATGTGAAAATTTCAGGCATATTAATGACACTTCATCCAGAAAACATATCCCATTTTTATTCCTACTATTAGTAAGATGATTCATGACTGAAATTAATCACAGTTGCTATTATAATGTGAGGATGGTCCAAAATTCCACACATCTAAAGTTAGCGCTCGGATATTAAAGCAAGCAAGTTACAGACTACTGAATATATCCAAGAATAAAAGTTACATGAGCTACTGAAAAGAAATGTGGATGACTAATCTTTGTGAATTGAGTGTGAAAACTTCGCTGGACACATTGAACAAATGTACTTTGAGGTATCTACTCTGTAGTGTTACTTTTTGAATACCAACTTGTAATTTCAGAAGCTAAGGGAATAAAAAGAGACCAAAACCCCAGAACAAAAACAGTGTCCCATTACTTCTTTTTGAGAAAGATAACATTCACTTTCAATTAACTTCCACCTAGTCTGTATATTTTAACATAACAGGTGTGAAATAACAAGTCTGTCCACCAAGACAACTTAGACTGTATCAGCCCAAAAAGAATCATAGAATGGTATGGGTTGAAAGGGACCTCAAAGATCATCTAGTTCCAAACCCCCTGCCATGGGCAGGGACACCCTCCACTACACCACGTTGCTCAAAGCCTGATCCAACCTGGCCTTGAACACTTCCAGGGACGGGGCATCTACAACTTCTCTGGGCAACCTGCTCCAGTGCCACAATGGAAACGGACATTATGTTTCCACCACAAAGCCATATTGCACATACATTTGCCTCAAATGGAGCTAGTATATATCCGCAATGCTGACATTTTACCCAAGAAAATGCAAATCACTATCATTTGAAAAGCCCAAAGACAGACACACAAAATAAAAATATACATAGTATAAGGTATGACACTGTTCTTATTACCTTAATGGCATTTTCTAGGCACTTAAACAACAATAAATAAAACAGAATGTTGTAAAGATTGTACTAGGCAGATGCAAATACTATAACATTTTCATTCAGACAAGATTGTTGTCTGCACACTGTTCACTACACTGACAGAATGGATCAGATTTCACAGGATTACCCAGCTCCCTGGCTAGAAGGACCAAAACTAGACTTAAGAAGGAAAAGCAAAGGCAATTTGTTTTCAGTATGTTCTGACAAAACATTTCACGTTTACGTGAAAAGTCAGTTCACTTCTTTTTTTCCCCCATGAACAGCAGGAAAATTACAGTGTAATACTTCTTTAAGAGTATTTATCACACAAAACTAGAGAGTATTTATTACATGAAAAAAGAGAGTATTTTAAGACTTAGTTCTACATTTCTTGTTTTGATCTCTTGTTGCATTCTTCTCCATTGATATTCTGAAAAGCTTCATTTGAGAGAAGAAAGTCTGAAGAGTCTGTCAAGACTTGACGTCCTGGTTTCAGCTGGAACAGTTAGTTCTTCTTTCCATATCTCTTTTCAAAGAGCTGTCATGGTTTCACCTGGCCAGCAACTAAACACCACACAGCCGCTTGATCCCCCTCCCCAGCTCCCGAGGAATGGGGAAGAGAATTAAAGGGGAAAGGAAGGAGACTCGTGGATTGAGATAAGAAAGATTTAATAATAACAATAATATTTTAATATATATATGTATATATAAAGACCATAATATATAAAAAACAGCGATGCACAGTGTAATTCCTCACAACCCAGTGACCAACACCTGTCTCATCCCAGCAAACGATCCCAAAACAGATTGTCCAAACAATTCCAGATGAGCAAGAGGCCCAAAAAGAGAGTGAGAGAGAGACAGCACACCGAGAGACCAAGAGTCCTCAGAAGAAGTTCTAAGGAGGCGAGGAGCGCGCTCAGCAAGCTCACTACCCTGGATTTCAGGAGAGTAGGCTTTGACCTCCTCAGGGATCTGCTTGGTAGGGTATGATGAGATGAAACTCTAGAAGGAAGAGGGGCGCAAGAAAGCTGGATAATATCATCTCCTCCAAGTCCAGGAGCAGTGCATCCCAACAAAGAGGAAGTTGGGCGAAAACACCAAGAGGCCCACATGGATGAACAAGGAGCTCTGGGACAAACTCAAGCAAAAAACGGGAAGCCTACACAGGGTGGAAGCAAGGACAGGTAGCCTAGGAGGAACATAGAGAAATTGTCCGAGCAACCAGGGATCAGGTTAGGAAAGCTAAAGCCCTGATAGAATTAAATCTGACAAGGGGGATCAAGGGCAACAATAATAACTTCTATAGGTATGTCAGTGATGAAAGGAGAACTAGGGAAAACGAGTTCCTCTCTGGAAGGAAACGAGAGACCTGGTTCACCAGGATATGGAAAAGGCTGAGGTACTCCATGACTTTTTTGCCTCAGTCTTCACTGGCAGGAGCTCCAGCTGCACAGCCCAAGTCACAGAAGGCAAAGGCAGGGACTGGGAGAATGAAGAACCACCCACTGTAGGAGAAGATCAGGTTTGAGCCCATCTGAGGAACCTGAAGGTGCACAAGTCCATGGGACCTGATGCGGTGCATCCACGGATCTGGAGGGAACTGGCAGATGAAGTTGCTAAACCATTATCCATCATATTTCAGAAGTCATGGCAGTCTGGTGAAGTTCCCACCAACTGGAAAAGTGGAAACAGACCCCATCTTTAAAAAGGGAAAAAAAGAAGACCTGCGAAACTACAGGCCAGTCAGTCTCACCTCTGTGCCCAGCAAGATCATGGAGCAGATCCTCCTGGAAACTATGCTAAGTTACATGGAAAATAAGGAGGTGATTCGTGACAGCCAACATGGCTTCACTAAGGGCAAATCCTGCCTGACTAATTCGGTGACCTTCTATGATGAGGTTATAGCACAGGTGGATAAGGGAAGAGCAAGTGACATCATCTACCTGGACTTCTCCAAAGCATTTGACACTGTCCCACACAACATCCTTGTCTCTAAACTGGAGAGACATGAATTTGACGGATGGACCACTCGGTGGATAAGGAATTAGCTGGATGGATGCACTCAAAGAGTTGTGGTCAACGGTTCAATGACCAAGTGGAGGCCAGTGACAAGTGGTGTTCCTCAGAGGTCAATACTGGGGCCAGTGCTATTTAACATCTTTGTTGGCGACACGGACAGTGGGATCAAGTGCACCCTCAGCAAGTTTGCAGATGACATCAAGTTGTGTGGTGTGGTTGACAAACTGAAGGCAATGGTTGCCATCCACAGGCACCTTTACAGGCTGGAGAGGTGGGCCTGTGAGAACCTCACAAAGTTCAACAAAGCCAAGTGCAGGGTTCTGAAAACGGGTTGCAGTAATGCCAAGCACAAGTACAGGCTGGGCACAGAATAGGTTGAGAGCAGCACGGAGGAAAAGGACTTGGGAGTGCTGGTGGATGAGAAGCTCAACAGGAGCCGGCAGTGTGTGCTGGCAGCCCAGAAAGCCAACTTTATCCTGGGCTGCATCAAAGGAAGTGTGGCCAGCAGGTCGAGGGAGGTGATTCTGCCCCTCTACTCTGCTCTCGTGAGACCCCACCTGGAATACTGTGTTCAGCTTTGGAGACCCGAACACAAGAAGGACACGGAGCTGTTGGAGTGAGTCCAAAGGAGGGCCACAATCATGGTCCAAGGGCTGGAGCACCTCTGCTATGAAGACAGGCTGAGAGAGTTGGGGTTGTTCAGCCTGGAGAAGAGAAAGCTCCAGGGTGATGTTATAGCACTCTTCCAGTATTTAAAGGGTGCCCATAAGAAAGCTGGAGAGAGACTTCTTACAAGGGTATATAGTGATAAAACAAGAGGCAATGGCTTTAAACTGAAAGAGGGGAGATTTCGATTAGATATAAGGAAGAAATTTTTTACATTGAGGGTAGTGAAACACTGGAACAAGTTGCCCAGAGAAGTTGTGGCTGCCCTATCCCTGGAAGTGTTCAAGGCCAGGTTGGAACTAGATGATCTTTGAGGTCCCTTCCAACCTTAACCATTTTATGATTCTAAGACCAAAAGTCCTTCTTTCCAGTCAACCCTCATCTATATACTGGGCATGACATTGCATGATATGGAATACTTTATTGGCCAGCTTGGCCCTCAATCCTAAGTCTAAGTTCAAATGATAAGGCGAGCTGTGGACCCTTTGTCCCAGCTATGCCTGCGCCCCTATCCTGTTGTGCTCCTGCACACTGGCAAGAACACAGCAGCCGAAAAGTCCTTGAGGTCTCATTGCCAACTATAAACATTAGTGCACTATCAACATTCTTCTCATGATGAATCCCAGAATAAAATCAAAACACACACCTCTTCTAGCTGCTAAAAAGAAGAACTAACTCTCTCCCTGTCAAAATCAGGACACTTGATCAGATTTTATTTTTATTGAGATGACTTTAAAGCACTTGAGGATGATAGAATGCCAACCAAAAGTCCTGAACTGATTTGTTTAAGGCTGAAAGATTCTATCACAGAAAGGCCCATTGATGAACAGATTTGTAAAACTATGTAAAATTGCAATGTTACTACCACTCACAATGAAATAAACCAGCAGCTTAAAGCCTGCACAAACACCACCTGCTTAACCTAGTCACTGAAACACAAAAACTAGGAAAAATAGGAGAAAATAAAGCTATACACACACACAAAATACTGAAGTTATTCACTCTCATAATTTTAGAGCATTATCATACTTTGCACTAAACAAAGTATTTAGAAAAACTATGTTTATCAGTACAATACTCAGATGTTTGATCCATACCAATGATGATGCAAAATGGATATGTCCTCCAAGTTCAAAATACTCTCCATAACATACTAATGTGCAGCAGTTAACTTTTTTTCTCCCCAAAATAAGAATAAACCAAATTTTTTAGCATTTACAAAGGCTTGCATACACAACAGAGAACACATTTTTATAAGCGCTCTACATATTGTAACTGAGTAGACCAAGAAGCACTGAGACATGCCTGTGGTGT